AATATGGCAAGATGTTAAAACTGCCTATGACAGCTACTGCCTATAAATTTAACATTGGCCTTTAATTTCTTTTTCTTAGTTTGGCTTTGAAAATTACACACTGATCTCTGGTTTGCTGTTCAAAGATGTTTTCTAAACTACAAGTTAGGAGATCCAAGAAGCTATAGTTAGCAAATGTTGAGCAAGTCTGACAACTATATGCAGAAAATGGATACTTAAAAAAAAAAAAAAAAAAAAAGCCTAACAAAGCTATGATAAAGCTAACAGCCAGTTCTTAATTTGTCATGAGTGTAACCCAAAATTAAATAGGAAAGGGGATTTCACAATGATTTCAAGGAGAGAAAGATTACATTTCTAAATTTAAAACTAACCTCAGAAATAAAATATGTTGGATTCAAACACCCACAATCCTGAAGGATTATGTGGCTGAGGGAGGTAGAAATCATAACCAAATACGTCTGAAGCACTTCATTTTGGGGAAGTTGCTTCTTTGATCTTTTCCCAGTTTAACTAGGATATAAATTAAATGTTAGTTTTATTTATTTAAAGTATACTAGAATTTTTAAAAATAGGAAATACAAAGGTGATTTCCACATTAATACTTATTTGTTTGTTATTTTGCTTGTATAGTATTAGCTGGTAAAAACTCTTGGTCATATATAAAGAGAACAAATTTAAAACCAGACATTAGAAACACTTAAAATAGCAATTGAAACCAAAATGAAACAAGTAAAACTATTAATAAGTTAATAAGTTAATCAGAATAATGTGTTTTAAGAGCCTTTTAAAAACCTAATAGGGAGTGCATTCCAAACAATTAGTTCAGCAACTGAGAAGTCCCAAACCCAAATCCCTGGTATATAACTTATGCCAACTATAGGCTAATTTCCTCAGATGATCTCAGTAAAGATGAAGGGTCATATTGAAAGAGGCATGCTGTCTCAAATACAGATAGTCCTTGACTTACAACTATTCGTTTAGTGACTGTTTGAAGTTACAACAGCACTGGAAAGAGTGATGACCAATCCTCACGCTTATGACTGTCACAGCGTCCCTGTGGTCATGTGATCAAAATTTGGGCACTTGATAGCTGGCATGTATTTATGATAGTTGCATCATCCCAGAGCCATGTAGTTGCCATTAGCAACCTTCCTGGGGGCTTCCAACAAACAAAGTCAGTAGGGGAAGCCAGATTTGCTTAACAGCCATGGGATTCACTTAACGACCATGGTAAAAAAAAGTCATAAAATCGGGCATGACTCACTTAACAACCACATCACTTAGTGATGGAAGTTCCAAATCCAGTTGTGGTTGTAAGTCGAGGACTACCTGTAGAATGGCCTAAGCCAGTGTTTTTCAAACTTAGCAACTTTAAGATGGGTAGACTTCAACTCCCAGAATTCTGGCAGAGGGATTCTGGGAGTTGAAGTCCACACATATTAAAGTTGCCATGTTTGAAAAACACTGGCCTAATCTGTGTAAGGCAGTAATGACCACCATTTGGTATTTGTCCAGACATGAATTGGCAGCCAACTTTAAGCACCAGTGTACTTTTTTTTTTTTTTTTGGCATTCTTCCCCAAATCAACCTGTCAGGCTTTATACCAACTGAAGTTTCCAAACTAGGCAGAAATGCAGCCCCTGTAGAATCTATAATAGTGTTCAAGCCTAGAGGTTATCACCACATGTACCATCTTTTGATGGACATCTTTCTGAAAGGGATTCAGTTGGCATATCAGCTATGTTGATAAAACATGTTCCTGAATTTGCCTTAGACAAGAGAACAAGGGACAGGGAGAACAGGGAACAAGAGTGAGATTTAGTTTCAGAAGCGGCCTCAATTACATATATCCTAATAGAATGGACTTCCATTCAGAATAGGCCAATTTATGATGTCTCTGTAATTAATAACTTTTCACAATAAACACCGCCGTCTAATGGTTCATATCCATTAGCTAGGAGTGAAGGTTGGATTCACATATCATATAAAACTATGGTTTGCTTTACTCATGCATTTTTTAACAAACCATATAAACATTGGAAAATGTTAAACCATCAACTATGCTTCACAAAATATAATGAATTAATAAATTGCAATAAACCATTGTTTAAGGAGATGTGTAAACTCAGCTACACTGAGCTAGGCAAGGAGGTTAAGAGATTTGTTGTCAATAAGGGAACTGAGAACCAAACAAGCAATAGAAATAAAGATTTAAGCAGAGGAAGACCTAACCAAAAGTTAAGCAATACTGGAGAGCTATTGCCCATCTAAACCACATCCATAAGCTGCTATTTCTGCTAGAATGGTATGGTTTGAAATACTATTGTGACATTAGCCTGACTGCAGTTCCAAGAGGAGGGAAACCAAAATGCTTTTTTTTGTTCTATGCAATTTAACAAAGTTTCTAAAGAACAATGTAAACCATATTTTGTTGTAGAAATAATACACATAATAATATTGTATTATCACCTTTTATTATTGTTTATTGAATTTCCCCTCTTTATATGTAATTTAAGGACGTGCCATTTAGTTGCCAAAATCTCAGAACTGTTCAGAAGCAGGGTTGTGAATACACTATAGCCATTGTCATCTGTTGGAAGGTGAAGAGGCAGGCAGGCAGGCAGGCAGTATTTTCCATAAATGTATTATGTACTCACAAGTAATTTCCATTCAGCAAAGGGATGTCTTGTTTTTAATTGTTCCAATTTACAGGTTCACCCTATTCTATTGCTTTATAGCAATTATTATCAAAGTGTGGTCCATGGACAATAGATGATTTCCAAAGGTCTGTCAGGTGACCCACTGCAAATTCCCCACATTTGTAAGTTACAGCCCCACTCCCCAGCTTAGACCTGCCCCCATCCCATTAGTACCAATTGTCAGCTGGTGAGACTTACAGCCTCAGCCTTATCTTCCTACATGTGAGTACTTTAGCTTATATCCTGTTCCATTTCCAGAGATCTGAACAGCTTACAGGTTATATCTAATATGGTTAAAAAACAACAATAGCAAATAGCAGTAAGCAACAAAACAACAAAAACAAACTTCCTCTTTCTCCTCCCTGTTGATTAGGTTTAAAAACCACTTTTTATTTATTTATTTATTTATTTATTTATTTATTTATTTATTTATTTTTAATGAACTAGTCACAGAGGTGGGCAGTATTAGGAACTGGAATTTGGCCTCTGAATCATGTGGAGAGCATTGGGAGACCAGTGGTGTAATTACATCATGGAAAAGATGTGTGTGCATGTGTGTGTGAATGAGGTTTTGGAGTTTTATGGTAGGAATGGGAGTAGCAGGCACACTACCCACATACTCACCTTAACTCTCTACCCTTTAAAGTTGACCTGAAATTGTCCCATTAAAATTTGGAAGTAAAACTTGGCACAGTTTCTGTATAAACTTGGCCATGGCACAGTTTTGTATAAACTTGGCCATGGCACAGTTTCTGTATAAATGTAGCTATGGCTATTTGAAACAATAGCTAGTTCAACAATATGAAATAACTAACTTCAGTAACTAGAGTTTGACATAATTTGTTTTCATCAATTCTGTTAAAATTAACTACCATTTGAGTCTGGCTGACAGAGCAAACTGAGGTTAATCTAAAATGAAAATAAATGTCGTTGAAGTCATCCATGAGCTACACTGTTGATGACAGGGAGGGGGTCGCTATAGAAGTTTAATCTAACTCTGTTTTCAGAATTTTAGACTCTTTCATACATTCAAAGATACAGGAAGGTTTTCAAGGATATAACATATTGTCCATATCTAATGAAGCAACAATAAATCCTGATACTAGTTGGTTTGAATTAATTTAGTAATGTATATATTGTAATTCTAGTTCTTTCTTTTTGTGAGTGTGTCTTTGATTCAGTTTTGACTCCTGACAACTCCTGGACTAGTCTCCTGACAACTCCTGGTCTTGTTACTGTTTTCAGAAGTGGTTTGTCACTGCCCTCTTCCTAGGGCTAAGAGAGAGTAAGACATAGTCACCCAGGTGGCTTCTTGCGTAAGGCAGGACTAGACCTCACAATCTGCTGGTTTCTAGCCTGGTGCCATAACCACTACACTAAACTGGCTCTCAACTCTAGGTTAGAATGCATTAATTGGTTCTTTAAGGACTATTCGTGTGGCATGTTGATTATAATGAATAATGTAATAATAAATTGATTGATATTAGTTTGAGTAAGCGAAACTGTGTTAGCATGTAGCTTCTTGGTTAGCCACGCATCTCTGCAGACTTTTTAAAATACTTGTTACTTAATATAAACAACTAATTATTTAGTTACATTGTTATATTTCCTTCTTTCCATTGAATTTCTAAGTATAAATACAGAGACCTTTTAAGAGTTTACTTCTTTTAACTAATCTTTTATATACAACTAAAACCCTCATAGGATATAGTTGCTAAAATCTGGAACTGATCTTCAGAAATGAAAGCAGAGTTATTCTTCCAGTGATGTTTTTATAATTGTGCAACTATAGAAGGTACACATTTCAGTCGTAAAGATGAAGTAGTTGTTGGCTGTTTGGGAGAATGGCTTCTCAGTAATGGCCCTCTGGTTGCAGAATACTTCTACCAGGGACGTTAACCTAGCATTTTTGTTAGAATCATTTTGATATTAATAATAATACTAATTTATTAAACTTGTATGCTGCCCAACTTCCAATGACTGTGGGTGGCTCACAACAATCAAATAAATTACAATAAATTCAGTAAAAGATAAAAGATAGCAAGTGTGTAGACATTTGGGCTTTCATAGGCATTTGAAAATTGTCACCTTAAAATTAAGGTTGAAATTCAATCCACTGTTTTACTGTTGCATTATTTGAGTGATGCTGCAGAAGTAGATGATGCTTGCTTGCTTAGTATTTTAGTGCATTTAAAAACAAAGGCCTTTGCGTGTGCCTATGTATCTTATATAAATAAATGAAAACAATATTTAAAATAGGAAACATAAGAAGTAAACATACTTTTTTTCTATATTATTCAGGAGAAGAAAGTAATGGGCCTTTGTGTGAAAATACATCAAATGCAGATTCAGAATTTCCTGGCAACTCTGAGGTAAGAGTTAATTGTGGATATAATTGGCTTTATGAAATGAGATTGGTTAATATTGATGGAAGTTACCTGAGATAACCAAAAACATTGCTAATCCTTATCCTTTCAAACCATAATTGTATGTTTTTTAAGTTAGTGTTTATTTTAAAAATACTATTTAAATATGCACTTAAACTAATAAGATTATGACTTCTTTTGGGCTGTGCCCCTGCAGAATTTAAGTTTGTTGACTTGCAAGCAAAATGCAATTAGCAGTTTGTAGTGCAGCACTAGTCACACTGATAAGCAGCCATTCATAATCTGGTGCTTTTCAAAAAAGATTTCAGTTCCTTCAGTTCCAAGCCAATACATTTGGAGGACACTGTATTGAGCAGGGTTGTTTTAAAATATATTTTATCATCATCATCATCATCATGGTTTGTCAGAATGAAATTGTACATGTGTACCAGATTGAAAACAACAACATGTTAATTGTCGGTTATCCAATAAGGGATCTAAATTTTATTCCAGAATGAGTTCTGCAGTACTAAGTCCTACTTTAAAAGCATTATTAATGAGAGTTGGAGAATCTGTAACGTTGTTCAGCTATTTCATTGCTAACCATTTGAAATATTGCATTTATTTTCCACATTTATTTTGCTAATGAAAATGTTTTTTCAGTTTGGGAATGTATGTAACTCATGTTCATTTTCCCATTCTTACCATTAATTTGAATTAATTTATTTTCCTTGCAGGTTAAGTCATTCATGTAAGTGTGTATTAAACACACTTTTTTTAGCTAGTTAAAATAGTACCAGTTATATTAATTCTCCTTTATTCCTGTTATTTTCAGAGGATCATTAGATTAGTCCCATAACTTCCTTTCCCTCACCTATCAGATATATTAAAAACAAACAGGCAACCTCACCTAAATAATAGAAAAGATTTTTCTTTTTTCTGCTCCAGACTATCTGAACTAAACTAGAGAATGGAGAAACTTGTTCTTGTGTGTTCAGTTCCTGTTCATACGTGTCTCTGGAACCTCTCATTTCAGATGATTCCCCTTATAAGAGCTAGTGAGATAATAATTAATGGTAGCCTTCTCCCCATGCAAATATAATTGGAAGCTTAGCCTCAACTCTTCTCCCTCAACAGAAAGCAACCTCTAGGATATCTTAACTTTCCCGAACTTTCAATAATAGGACTGCTTTTTAAGTCAACCTAAATCTATTTGAATTTCCAACTATGAAAATGGAAGTATGACATGCATTTCTTAACTTCCTTTACATAAAGTCTGAAATGAAAGTTGATCTGATCTTGAAGGCAAGTAAGTAAAAGAGAAAAATACTTGCCAATATTGTCTTCTGCAAATAGCATACTTCTGTCATGTGTCTTGATCTGATTCTCTTTACAAATTTAATTCCATATCCTGATGTGGAATTTACATATGGAAGGGGATAAACTTTTGAAGAGGCCTGACTTGTCTTACATTAATCACCATATTAGCCAAGCAATCTCTTTCCCATAGTATACATTCCTTACCAAGCCAAGAGATTAAAATGTACTGTTTCATTTGGAACCACTTAATAAAAATTGCTTTGATTTGCACACTTGCTTGTGCTCATAGTTTACATTCAGGGCTGTGGGAAATGCAATGAATGAATGGAAGGAGTTATCGACTAGAATATGATAACATGAATTATATAATTCTAAAAAAATCAAAAGATAAAAATGATATTTATCTAAATGTGGATAAAAAAGGGAAGGTGGGAATACTTTAAACACCTCTGATTCTACATGCATTTTTATATAAATAACTAACATAGCAAATTATATGCATGGAGAAGTCTGGTTATACATGTAGTTTGTTTCCTTAAATCAGGGATTCACAACTTTTTCAGACTTAGAAGTCACAATGCAATTTTGTACAGTTGTGAGCCATCAAAGATATATACTTTTTAATATATATAATTATTGATTTTTTAAATGTCTGAAATCTCACCAGACTTCATACTTACTGTCTTGAAATTTCCTAAGAGAATATAGGGACCATGCAAGATTTGGGACATTTTTCAAAAAATAGGACAGGTAGTCCTCAGGTTATGACCCTAATTGGAAGTGGAATTTTCATTGCTAAGTGACATGGTCATTAAGAAAAACATCTCGTGACTGTGCTGCTTAGTGACTGTAGTCCAGATTGTGGTTGTTAGGCCAGGACCTCACATTTCCCCTGCCCTGCATGAACTGCCTTAGCTTCAGCTCCCCCCACCCACCTATCTCCCCCCATCTCTGCTCTTTTGGCCATTTGGTACTCTGCCCCCACCGCTGCTGCCCTCAGCTGCCCTTCGCCATCTTCTTCCTCCTGCTGCTGGCCCAGGATCCAGAAGCTGGGTGAGGGCGCAGCCCCAGGATGCACATGATGAGTGCAGCAGGGTAGTAGAGCCTCATCTGCTGAAGGCAGCTTGCCAGGCCCAGCTAGGGAGAAGGCAGCAGGACAGAGCTGGCAGAGTAGGCAGTGCGGCACTGTGGATGGAGGAGTCCTGTCTTCCGCCACTGGCGCAAGGAGCAATAGCCTGCAGACCATGGAAAGCACAGCAGGACAGGCCATAGAGGCAAAGGTGGTGGCTGTGCAGAAGGTACTGTTCAGGGTGGTGGCAGAACTGGAGGAAGCGGAGGGATGAGGGCTTCCTGGAGGTGCAGTGCATGCTCTGCAGCTCGCATTGGAAGCTGTTGGGCCTGCAGGTAGGGTCTGTTGACACTGGGCTCACCTTCACCCCTCGCTGAAATTGCAGGCACTTCCAACAGGCCAATAGTGGGAGGAAGAAGATAGCAAAGGTCATCTGGGGGTGGCAGTGGCAGCGGGCAGCAAGGGTAGGTGGCGGAGTGCAGGGCAGCCAAAATGGCAGAGATGGGGGGGAGGAGTTGAAGCAGAGGCAGTTTGCACAGGGCAGGAGAATGTGACCATGGGATGTTGCAACCAACTGTAAATGTGGGCCAATCGCCAAGTGCCCCAATTTTGATTTGGTCACTGTGGAGGCACTGCAACAGGTAGAACTTTGAGGACCAGTCGTAACTACCATTTATTCAGTGCTGCCGTAACTTCAGATGGTTGCTGAATAAATGTTCATAACTGAAGGACTACCTGTGTTGTTGTTAAGTAAACAGCATGTAATGGTGTTACAAAGGGTATGGAGTCTTGCTAACTCCATAAACTCCCAGTTTAAATCCAGGATGCACAACATTGTAAGTCAGAACTCACCTTTGAGCAGCATGACAAGGGTTATGCTCCAAAAGTGAGCAAGTCCATTTAAAATTATAGTGAACAGGGCTGTTTTACATGTTAATAATTTAGTTTCTCCCAGTATACAACCCTTAAGTTTTAAGATAAATATTTATTTCCTCTATTCATATTTTATTTTTCTAGTAAAATTGAGAGAAAAAAATATTTAAACTGTTTCATGCCTAGAAAAGAGTATAATGGCATCCAGAAAGTGGATATTCTGGATAACAAGAACAACAGAAAAAAGTGTCTGGTAATGTTCCAGTGAGGGGAATCTACAGAAGGGGGGGGGGGAAGCAGCATAGGGAAGCAAGTCAGTGCTCGTAGCAAGTAAAAGATGGAAAAGAGGAGCAAAAGAAGAATAGAGATGGGAGGCAGGGAAGGGACCAAGATAGGGAAAAGCAGTGAAGATTGTGGTGGGTTGAAATCAGTGTTTAGGGTGAAGAATAGTAACAGAAGGTGGCAGAAAGCAGGGAACAGGCTTGAAATGTTTCAATTTGGGATAGACAGTGGAGTGGAATGGGGTTAGAAGCAAATGAGGAAACTTGAATGGCTTTCATTTAAGGTAGGTAAGTGGAGCATCAGGATAAGTCAGGGGGAAGTGGAAAGCAAGATTGGATGGCTTCTGTTTGAGGTGAAGGATTACAGCTGTAGGACAAGGTGGTGGAAGGCAAAGAGCAATCTTGGAAAATGTCAGTTTGAGGTGGAGGATTGGGTGAGCAGCAAGAACAGGAGAACAGCATGGATAGCTTCACTGGGAGCATCAGAGAATGCAGCAAGATCCTGAAGTGGATTTGTGGAAATGGAGGAAGGCACAAAAGAACACTAGAATATAAAAATGCAATAGCCCTTGCTTAATAACCACAATTGGAAAGGGAATTTAGGTTGTTAAGCAATGCAGTCATTAAATGAATCATCATGTGACCAAACCCAATTTTACAACCCTTTTTTGCAGCAGTCGTTAAGCAAATCACCAAGGTCATTAAATGAATCACATGGTCGTTAAGCAAATCACACTGTCGTTAAGTGAATCACATGATTCCCCATTGATTTTGCTTGCCAGATGCCGTCTGGGAAGGTTGCAAATGGCGGTCACGTGACCCCAGGACGCTGCAACCATCGTAAGTGCAAGCTGATTACCAGGCGCCCAGATTGCAATCATGTGACTGCAGGGGCACTGTGATGGTCATAACTTCAGGCACCGGTCTTAAGTCACTTTTTTTAATACCATCATAACTTTGAACGGTTGTTAAACGAATGGTCGTTAAGTGAGGACTACCTGTAATGTAGACATCAAAAGGTAAAACTGTTACAGCTAATCAGGATGTCTCAGTTTAAGCTGCAGCATATTTGCTTGTAAGGGAGTAGGAGATAAATGTTAGAAGACTCAGTTTCAGATAGCTAACCTGAAAGTAAAAACCTAATTCTTGAATTCAAGTTCCAGAAAAGTACATTTTTGCTAGTGGTATAAAGGCTGGATACATTTATAGTATTAAGTAAAATACTATAAAAAAATTCTAGCTGTTTAATTCTAGTTTATTGGCAGCAGGTTATATTGCTTACAAGCTGAATGATGGAAATGCCGTTAGCAGAATGCATAGTATTCATAATATTTATTACAATCTAAGTGGTATGCTTTGTTCAAATTAGTTCTGCTAGATTGCCACATATGTACACGATCCACTTTGCTTTTTACAACAAATTCTTTGTTTTTATTTTATGGAAATTTGTGAAAATACAGAGATGTTCATTTGTTTAAGCATTTTGAAAAATGCTCAATTGCAAACTAATAACATCAGTCTAATTTAATTTTTTGCTAAAGATCGCTAGAAAAAATCCTTGTTTAATAACATTTCAGCCATTCCCCAATACAGATTAATGGAAGCTAATATATCTAGGCAATTGTTTCAAGTCCCCTATTTATGTTTAAAACTAATACCTGAAGCTCTTGTTCTTTTTTTTTTTATGTGTCACCATCGCATATCAATGTAATTCACTTTGTTATGTTTAACTGCTGTAGCAGCGTCTTTTACTGGCATTAAATTATGTAAATAACTTTTTTGTATTGAATTCAACATCTTGAGGCCTCTTGCATTAGATTTTTGTTTTATATGGTAATATCGATTGTATTCAAAAGGCTGCTAGACCTAAAAATTGAACATCTAAGTGAAATAAATTTGTATAAATATATTTAAAGAGATTAAAAATGCCATGACACTATTTTTATCAAATCCAAAATATAGTGTCTCACCTTTGTATAGCAAGCTTTAAAAATTATAATCCTAAATGTTTGGGAAGGTACAGAAAATCCATGTCAAACGTAAGTTATTTGTAGGTTCCTGTCCTGTCTAAGGAAGTAAAAGACGACAAATGGCCTAACTGATCGGTTGTTTTCTTAATAATTAAACTGGGAATTACTCACCACAGCTTTGAAACGTAAACAAAAAACCCCACAGAGCTTTATGGTCGCTGCATTTTTATAAGCATCCTGCTGCTTTTGCACAACACTAACAGCATTATATTTTTCCATGATGCCACTGGCAGGGCCTAAGTACCACTGAGACCACATTGCTCATCTCTGACCTTCAAGGGGTAAGCAGCTACAGGGGGAGTGGTTATATATTCCTGCATGGATGGTATTGTGTTGTACTGTTTGCCAAAATGCAGCAAAAGAAAAGAGAGAGAGAGGGAAAAAAAGATTTTTCCAGTTTTCCTGAGATACTTCAAAGTACCAAATTTATGTTTCAAAAGTCAGGTGTTATAAGGGCAGATTTCCTCAATATGGCAGCCACCTGAAGTTTTGGACTGCAATTACAAGAATTCCCAGCCACATGGGAAAACACAGTTCCAACGCATCTGAAAAATTAGAGGTTAAGTAAACCAGTTCTGTAGGGTTCTGCATTTCTGAAATAATAGTTTCATAAGGGGTGATGGCTTAAATGCTGCTAATTGCCTCGCCAAAACTTTAATTCTCTAGTATTTTCCACTGGAGGATTTTTGAAAAGATCACTAAACGTATACTTGTATACAGAAAATAAAGGAAACATCTCTGTAAAATTCTGCCTAACACTGAAAACTGGAAAGGTTTTTATTTTTCTTTTCTTTTTTCTTTTTAGTTTTTGGGTTTGCTTTGGAATGAGTTTACATTAAGGGTCTGGGCTTGTCCCTTCATATTTTAGCAGAACTTTTGGCTTGTTTCTTAATATCACATTCATTTGTAGAACAATGAAAATTTGCATGCACTTTCTAAATAAAGAAACTACTGGTGCATCACTTCCCTGCAACTTGCATTGAAGGATCAAGTCTATATGTTGGGCAATTGGATTCTGAGTGGAATAGTTTGAAAGCTGAAGTCCAAGCAGGTATAATACAGTTTATATAGTAAACAATTTCTAATGAGTAAAAGCAGGATAAAACTGTATCTGCTTATACCCTTGTTTTCATTATCATATTATTGCCTCACTTGGTTCTGAAAAATACACCTAAAATGCCCCTCCCTTTCTTTTACAAGTAACTTAAATGAAATTCCAACGTAGTATCCCTTTCAGGTTCAGAGTGAAATTCTGTCAGGTGACTTCTGTTGTTCCTTGCATTGGGTAGTATCCTACTAATATGCGTTTCTGTTACTAATATGCTTTTCTTTTGCCAAGGGTCTTTCAGTGCCTTTATATACTGCATAGTTTTGATCTGGTAGCGGGCTTTTTTCCCCCTTATTACTGCCTAAAAAATGGCAAAAAGTATTATAATAATGTTGAAAGAAAATGCAAGTAAATCTTAAAAGTAACCGAATCCAGATATGTGTTCTCTGCATGTGTCCGTATTTGAAAGACTGGTGAAAATGTTTTATTAAGGTCTGTATAACTTTTTAATATAGCAAAATAATTAAACTATGCAGTGCTTTTTTCAAAAGTATAATAGAAAATTTTATATTCTTCTGGTTTATATGTAATAACTTGAAAAAAATTGAGAGATAAAACAGCACAGAATGTTCCATTGTTTTGTGTGTGTGTGTGTGTGTAAATAGTATAATATATTAATGTGTGATGTGTGATTACAACTTTTATTTAATGTAAGATCCTAATCTAACAAAGCATATTTTGTTATAGTGGGAAGCCTCCTGCATTGCAGAAACAATTTAATGGCATTTTCTCCTCTGGGAGAGGCACAAAGGATAGTACAGTATTAAAAAGTCCAGTTCTGAGGTTTCTCTGGCCATTGACCATGCACATTTTGCTTAAGGGCAACTTACTGATTTTCTTAAAAGGAAATCTAAGTTCCTCAGGATGCTGCATATCACCTTCTGCGGTTGTACTAAATGCTGGATTTTCATGATTCTGATCATAACTATATACTAATTTCATAGCAATGCCATAACGTGCATGTTTGTTGAGAATGAAGTTCCTTGGAGTACAGTAGGTAAGTATATATGAGACTGCAACTGAAAAAAACTCTGATGAACCTATCACCCTTCTAGCAATATACTGGCAACATACACATCCAGAAAGGAATAGCATTTGCTATTTTTCCTGCTATTTTTTTTTTTCCTTGCAAAATGAACAAATGAATCATATCCCCTCATGGCAGAGGTTTGGGAGCACGTGACTCCTTCAGTTTCTCTAGACTTCTAGGTTCAGACCCGGCCACATTTTTTAGAGTTGTAGAAGTTGTTGAGAGATGAGTGGAGGTTTATCCAAGATCAGGTTCCCCCTCCTAAGTCAGAATTCTTTCTCTAGCCTCAGAGGTTAATGCCAGGTATGCTAAATACTGATAAATGTAGCTGTTAAGGGTTTATATTTTATTTTGGATTTATGGATAAGAAGGGTCAAGTACTTAATATTATCACATTTGATGAAACTTAAAGTCAGGAATAAAATAAGGCTTATAGCTGCTCCTAACCCTCTTAAGATGAAGGGCACAACGTGTGACTAAACTTGCATTATAACATAACACTAAAAAGTTGGACATTGGCCCTGGAGAATATAACTCTTCCATGCTGGTAACAAGAACGTTAATACATAGCTGAATATTGTTCTTTGTTATATGGATTGATTACCAAATATTTAGTCTGGATAGGTTCAGAAAATGAGTCTTTTTCATCTGTTAAGAATCCAATTTCCTTCAGAGATATCTTTATATAAAGGTATAATAACTAACTTGGGAAGACTATAAATGCAACTATGATTCATTCTTATTGTAATACCAGTTGAATCCAAATCAGTAACTTTGCATTTATCCATGAATAATATGAAAGTGTTACAGAAACAATGAATCTACATCTCCAAAGAAAGCTACGGGTGTCTGTACTGAATACTAGAGCAACCTTCCTCAATCTGATTTCCTCCAGATGTGTTGAGATTACATTCCAAGACGGCAGGACTGCAAATTCTGGCAGTCTACCATATCTGGAGGGCACCAGTTTGTAAAAGGCTTTCTTGAAGTCCTACATAGACATATCCTGTCCTTCTTTTCCTTTCAGATTTTAAAATTGTCCCGTAGTCCAGGAAAAATTGTTTCAGTCCCCTGATCATTTGCAGTTGCAGAGTTAGGGTTTTTTGGATAGTGTGCTTATATGTTAACTCCCTGTTGTTATTCCAGAAGTCTGGAAGGAGATTCAATCTGTTCCTGAAGCGACGTCTCAGGGTAAACCATTGACAAATTGTACCACTAACACCTTGGATGACTGCAATGATAACAAGCTTCACCATGTGATGTCTCTCTTTAATTGGGAACAAGATGAAGTAATGAATTTTAGCCTGTACCTTAAACAGATAAATATAAATCTCACACATCTAGAAAGAAGTCCATGTCCAAGGATATGATCCTAGGGCTACCTATGTAGCTACCTGTTTTATCGAATGATATGGTGGCCTTATTTTTTTTTTTATCTGCACTCAATCGTGGCCGATTCTGTGACGAGTCCCTGCAGTTTTCATGGCAAGGATCTTTCGGAAGTGGTTTGCCATTGCCTCCTTCCTAGAGCGGAGCCCAGCTGGCGAGCGCAGGAGGCAGGGTTTCTGTTGCTTCACATCTTTTTCGGGCATACACGGCTTCCGCATTACTGGCAACTGGTCCCGTCTCCCGTGCAAGGCACCGCCAGCATTTTTCCTCCCACCAGGGGGAGAGTACCCATTTATCTACTTGCGGATGCTTTCAAGCAGCTGGGTTGGCAGAAGCTAGGGATGAGACAGGAGCTCTCTCTGCTGCACGGAGCTGGGCTCGATCCGCTGAAGTGTCGACCATTTCTGGCCGGCAGTTTTCAGCGTCATTAAGCCGCTGTGCCACTGCGTCCTCTGGCCTTATTTTATAACCCCTTAATTTATGAATACTGTATATTTTGCCAGGAAAAATGTTTCATTGGGATAATCTTGATATAAGAGGCTACTTAGGGAATTCTAGCATTTTAAAAATAGGTATTAATAATTCAGGTATCAAATATGAGGTATTGAATTCAAATTCCTCTGTAGGCTATACTCAGCTTCATAGCAGACCTTCCTATATGTGTAGGGTGAGTCCCCTACATTTACTCAACCAGTATTGCACATTCAACTGCACTCTGGATTAGCTGAAGCTTCTGAATGCTCTTCAAGGGCAGCCCTATGTAAAGTGTGTTACAGAGGTACAGTTGGGAGGTGACTAAGACATGAGTGACCATGAGCAGTGCCTGCCAATCAAGGAATTGGCTCAAGTGGTGCATAAGATGTAATTGTGCAAAGGCTCTCCTAACCACAGCTGCCACCTCTTCCTTGAACAGGAGCCACAAATCCAGGAGGACCCAGATTGTGCTCTAACTCCGCCTGAGGGAGTGTACCCCATCCAGATTTAATGATATAAAATTATTAGATGAAGGGGACCCTAAAGCCATAGCCACTCAATCTTGTCAGGATTCAGACAAAGCCAGTTTTTTCCTATCCAGACCTGCATAGCCTCCAGGCACTGAGAAAGCACCTTCATGGTGTCATGTGGCATCATGTGACCTAAGACAAAGCTGTGTAATGGAGCATCAGCATCCTGATAATACTTAACCCCATGCCAATGGATGACCTTGCCCAGTGATTTCATGTAGATGTTAAATAGGAGCAGGGAAAGAGTAAGACCTGTGGCACCCCCAGAGCAGAGGCATAAGGCTGGACCTCTCTGCCACTACCAACCCTAACCTTAATAACAGTAATAGGTTCAGTAGGATAAATACTCAACTAACAGAACAGCCAAAAATCTGCCTACTGGTTTGACTCCAAAGTATGTTCACCTGAATCTTTCCTTTCCCTTGTTTATTCTTCCAATCAAATACCATTGGAAGACCTTGAATCAGTCAAAATCCCCAACTTAAGGTATCCATTTGTTCGCAGAAAGCCTGATGACTCTCAACATTCCCCCCCCCCCAAATACCACCCACAGAAACAGTATATAAACGAAAGGCAACCTGGGATCGTTGAAGTGTAGGAGGTAGGAAAAAACCAACAAGGAACTGTTCTGGATTTTTTTTTTCCTGGAATTTTCTTAGGGTTTTGTTTTTTGTTTTTGAGGGAGGGGGACCCAGAGATTTCCTTTTGAAGCTCAGAAAAAGCAAGTAAATTATGAACAAATGGGGAATTTACTCAAATTTATTACAGTGTGATTGTTACTAATCTCCTTTTAAATGTAAGAAATATTTTAAAAAAAACTTTAAAAAGCAATATTCCCAAATCTGTGCGATTGTAAATACTTTGTATGGTCATTCCCATAAAATCTGCTGTCAGGTAGATTTCATTTCTGCACATCTTGTTTTCCTAAACTATAATAATGTAGCACTTACTTTTTATTTTCGGAGCTGCTTCTGTGCTTTCTGCTTTCACATGTTATCGCTTTATCACATATACAGCAAAATATACAAAATTACCCTGGGACTAAAATTCTTTTGCAACATAAAAAAGCATTTCAAAGTAGCAGCCCTTTGTCATCGTTCCAATGTACGTTGCATTGCTTCTTTACTGAATGGTGAATGTGTGAGACACACTGTAGGCTTCAGATGTTACTGTTTAATAAATGTCATTATAAGACTGACTTCATTGTGGCAAATGTCTCTGCATTTGTGCTTGCTTGTTCATGAAGAGAGTCGGTCATGTCAGTGTTTGGCTGTGCAAATATAAGAAAAATATATTTTGTAACTGTGTTGCAAATATCTATCTGTGAAAATAGATGGTATTAAAACCTTATTTGGCAATAGTTCTTTTCTGGAACTGAAAGCTCGAAAAAAACTTAAATGTGTGGGTTTTTTTGTTTTTTGTTTTGGTCATCTTTTAGCATCCATGAATACTGATAATATGCTTTCTGATCTCTCTAGATTGATAGGAGGCACCAAAGCAAGGATTCTGTTTTCTTCAGAGATGGTACACGGAGAATAGATTTTGTACTTACTTATGTGGATGATCCAAAAATGGATGGAGAAAAAAAAGTGGTAAGCATCTTTTATGGTGACTTCTGAATTTAGGACATAATTAATTTTGCTTTTTTTTTTTTTAATAACAACAACAGTTCGCCTGGAAGGTCCCAAGTCCATGCAGTTGTTACTTTTGCCTGTAATTTGTTGTCAGTTTGTATCTGTTCCTGTATAAACGTCATGACACAGTTCTAATGGGTGCTTTTTTCACTGAAAATATTAATTCCTTTCATCTCTACAACACTGCAATCAGTTTTTCTTATAAAGTAAATGTTGCTGTAATGTTAAAATAAATTGTTTGACAATGCTGGTTGTGCTACATACAACAAGGAAAAAAGCTAAATTCTTTTTTCCTGCCAAAGTCTGCTTCACTTTGCTTGCACGCTTAAGCACTCTCTTATAGGCCCTGCACCTTGACAAGATGCTTCATGCTACAGGCAGCACTGCTCATGTTGCTGATGCACTTCATGCCACTTTGGGGCTAGAAGACGCTTCTACAGACATAGACAAGTTTATGGTATCTTTCTCTTACCTAGTGCCCTCCAGATATGTTGGCCTTCAAAACCCATAATTCCCCTGGCTAAGGATTATTGAAATCCAGCACACCTGGAGACATCATGATAGGGAGAAAAGTAACCACAAGTGATATGGGAAAAAATTCCCTGGATGTATATGAAAATAGCTTGTACAGTTGAAAAATTATTCAAATTCCAGACACATAAGTCATGGTTACTTCATCCCCTCATGAGTTTTTCAGATTTCTGACCATATGCTTTTCAAAGGCATCTGGCTGTGCTCATAATATAGGAAGTCAAATAGATCTATAAGCATACCTTGGAGATATTGTGGATTTGGTTCCAGATCACCACAATAAAATGAATATCACAATAAAGTGACTCACATAATTTTTTTTGGTTTCCCAGTGCATATTAAATTTATGTTTATACTATCCTGGAGTCTATTAAATGCGCAATAGCATTATGGTTAAAAAATCAATGTGCATACTTTAATTAAAAATACTTTAATGCTAAAAAATGCTAATCATCATCTGATAGACTTGCTCAATGCAGGGTTGCCACAAACCTTCAGTTTGTAAAAAAAACAACACACACACTTATTGGTGAAATGCAATAAAGCAAAATGCAATAAAATGAGGTATGCCTATATTTAATTTCAATTTGATCTAGCAGAACTATTTTTATGTTTTAAAAAAGTAAAAAACAATTCCTTAATATTCCTCATTTTTTTCTGCTATTTTTCTTTACTTTTCCTCCCCCCCCCTTTTTTTTTTTTTGGTTTCCTGTGGGAAACAGATAGTGACACATTGTAGATTACTCAGAAGGGAGTAGTACACTTAATTGTATTCCAGTGGAGTAAGTTTCTTGTTACAGTTTTGCTGTTATTTTAAGAAAAATAACATTCTTATTTAGCTTCATAACTGGTGCATCCTGTAAACTTTCTACAATATACAAGCATCTTGCACATATAGTCATATGAAAAGGCAAGTATACCCCATGTAAAGTTTTTTTTTCTTTTTTAACATACAATTGTATATCAATATTTTATCTTCCAACAGTATATAAAGATAAAGTTTATATAATTAAACAAAAAACTGAAAAACTGACTTTGCAATCATTTATTCAACAGAAAATTAACAGATATACCATTTCCTTCTGTGGAAAAAGTAAGTACACCCTGGGCTCTAATAGCTGGTATTGCCCCCTTTGGCAGAAACAACCTCAAGAAGGAATTTCTTAGAAGTGTCTACCAGTCTCTTTGACTAGGAGGGATTTTTTTCCTACTCCTCCATGCAGAAATTTTTCAGCTGTGTGATGTTTGAGATGCTTCTTGCATGCACAGCTTGTGTCAAATCACCCCACAGCATCTCAGTGGGATTTAGGTCTGGGCTTTAACTTGACCATTCCAGAACCCTCCATTTCTTTCTTTTTTCAGTCATTCCTTGGTGCATTTACTAGAATCTTTAGAATCATTATCACGTTGCAAAGTCCACTTTCATTTGAACTTCACTCTTCTGATAGATGATGGTCTCATATCCTCAGGCAGCCTCAGATACGATGAAGAATTCATAGTGAATTCTATGATGGTGAGCTGCCTAGGCCCTGATGCAATAAAGCAGTCCCAAACCATAATATTTCCACCACCATGCTTTACAGTTGGTATCAGGTTCTTTTTTTTTTCATATTTCTATTAAAAGTTTTAAAAATAATAAATGAAAATACAAGCCAAATTCAGAAGAGAGAAAATAAATGAAAAGAAAAAAGAATAGAAAGTCCAAGGAAAGAAAGAAAAGACAGAAAGAGATTAAAGGAGAAAGAAAAGAGAAATAGTTAGAGAAGTAACTTCCAGTCTGCATCAAAAGTATAGGCAAACTTAATATCCCCCCCCCGCCCTTATAAGGTTGCATGCATATTATCTCTTCTTCCCATAGCCCATCCCTCATCCATTTCACAAATCCATAAATCATTAACGTTTCAGTCCAGTTGTTAGCAAAAAGTTCTAGAGCTTTATCAAATTATATCTCGTTTTAACCTTGGTCAAACAAACTGACTTTAAATTCCTTGCTTTTGCCTCTAACAATTTTAGTCCTTGATCCATTCAAATGCTGTCGTAGGTTTTAACCTTCTTTCCTTTCTTTCTCCCATCTCTAGTTGCATCAAGGCTTTAGCAACCCTCTTTTGTAAATCCATCAAGAAGTTGTTATCCAGGTCAATATCTTGGCTTGTCATTTGTATTTCCACTTTAACTGTCATCTCTATCTTGCAGTCCACAATTTCTTTATTTTCTAGTAAATCTCCATAAGCTTGTTTCACCTCTTCATCCTGTAAGTCTTTCAAAGCATTTTCTTTGACAACTTTCCTTTCTTCTTTTGTAACTAATCCATTCATGTAAGTAAATTTTATTTTGGCCATTGTAGCTACAAGTGTCTGTCCCCATTCTTCAAAAGTGTCTTGAAATGACTCAAATTTCACAGCAATTGTGTACAATTATACTCTCCAATTCAAATATGAGAGGCAGACCTTTTCTTTTCCTGCCTGAAGCCTTCAGTCCCCCCTAATTTCTGAAATCATAAAGGATCGAATCTCTGTTGTTAGTTTTATAGACTAAACAAAGTGGTATTCCCATGAAGTTATGATTTATTAATTTAACTTTTTCCCAAATCTTTAGCAAAAATTCCAAGGTTCCAAATTTTTATATCTTTCCATTTATATCTTTCTTAAATTAAATTCTTATTTAGCTTTTTGCTGTTTGTGTCTATTTCTTAGTTCTTAAGCTTATAGTTAATTTTTGTTTTGTTCAAGAACAAAGGCAAATTTACCAGGTGGCTCTTCAGACTTGTCATTTTGAAGATCTCTAATATCCTTAATATAATTAAATAGGCAATTTCCAAAAGTGATTAGAAAGTGAGACTAGCAAACTCAGTATCCTTTAAAAGGCTCTGCTGTGATTGAGAGCATGATTATTCCCTTTGGCTCCCTGTGCTCAAACCCATGGGGAACCTCTGTCCTGCACTGTCCTCATGAGGAACTGCTGTTTGGAGCACAAGTGGGCAATCTTCTGTCCTCTCCTTATCCAAAGAGGTTCCATGGGCCTGGTCTACTCGCTGTTCCTTCAGTCCTTGCCATGGTCATCATCTCCGCTTGGAGATGTGCTAGTTCACCATTTTTCACCCAGAAAGGTATCAGGTTCTTCTGATGAAACACTGTATTAGATTTTCACCAAATCTTCTGCTACTGTAGCCAAATAATTCTATCTCTTCCTCATCTGTCCAGAGCACATTGCTCCAGAAGTCCTGGTCTTTGCCTAAGTGTTCATGAGTAAACTTTAGTTTTGCCCTGGTGTTCTTTCTGGACAGCAAAGGTTTCTTCCTGTCACAGAAGAAGATTGTAGATCTAATTTGTGCAGCTTCGTTCTAATGGTAGACTCATGTACTTTGACATCAGTAGTGACAAGAGCTACCTGTAGGTCAAGAGATTAAGTTCTGGGGTTCTTAGAAATTTCTTTCAGCATCTTGCCTTCTGCTCTCAGGCTGAACTTGCTGGGACAGTCTGGCCTGGACAAATTGGCAGTTGTTTGAAATCTTCTCCACTTGTAGATGATCTTCCGGACAGTGGAATGATTGATGTGATGTATGTTAGTATTTCTTCAGTTCTCTCTTCCATTTTCTCTTCAGTCAGACTAAATCAATGACAGTACTGTGGTTTTGGTAGCTGAATTGGGAACTACTACTTTTTGTCCCTCCTTCATGTTCCTTCCCCCATTAGAAGGAATCACTGCTGTGTGGCAAGAAAAGCTCTGTAGAGTAGTACATTCAGAAAGAAATTCCTTAGAATAGATGTATGCCTTCTAAAAGAGTATGGCTTGTTTTCATTTCCAATTTAAATACTTTCAAAAATTAACTGTATTGGCATAGATCGTATGCTAGATATACCCAAGAATAAGCATGAAAATGTTATGAAATTCACAGTATGTCAGCAAGTCCTTCTTTTTTACAATTAGTGTCTTTCAATTCAGTTAAAACCTGTGCTGGCCCAATAGAGTAGTTTAAAAACCTGCTGAGAGTCCTCTGGATTTCCTTATTCATAAAGCTTGTAAAATGATACATAGGTAATCCTCAGTTAATACCGGTAATTGGGACTGGAATTTCTGTCACTAAATCACTTAGCAACAGCAATCCCAACAGTCCCCGTTGCTGTCGTTAAGCAAGGACTGCACAGGTAATTAAGCAAGGACCTCACATGACCACAATGTGGGAAGAGGTGGGAATCCAGAAGTGCTTGCTTATGCTGCTGAAACTATGTCCCCAGGCAAGCAGGCTGGTGGGTGACAGTTATGAGCAGGTGAACACCACAGGCAGGTGCTTCAGAGCTCAGGCAGGTGCACGCTATGGAGTACAGGCGGGCAGGTGCTATGGAGAACAGGCAGGTGGGCAGGTGCCATGGTCAGGCGCTACGAAGTACAGGCAGGTAGGTGTCGTGAGGAGGTGTTATGGAGTACAG